GTATGTTCTGCTGGGTGACGAGAGCAAACCTGTTGATTTACCCAGCATGGGAATTGCTTTAAAAGAATCCTTTCCAGAAACATGGAGGCTGCTTTAACTTCTCATGCTGAAAATGTTAGGTGCATGGCTGTCATATTGACCCTTTTGGCTTCCTTACATTGAATCACTAACCCAGGACAAGTATGCAGATAATGACTTACGCTGATCTATTTGCTACGATACAGTCAATACAAAATGAGAAAAGTCAGAACAACCAGGCAACATGTTCAAAAAGAGATCAGCAATGGCAGGGTCCAGGTTTTCTTAGGCAGAATGGAGGAGCCTTATAGTTTCATATATTCCCTCAAATCTGAGTTTCTGAAGTGTACACCTCCAGTTCATGTATTAGGCACTAGGGGTCAGTGTGGCACAACATCCACAGCTTGGAACCCACACACTGGATTCAGTTGATGACTGCCTGGACTCCCATCTATAGCAATAGGAGGTATTACTGAACTAATCTCTTGGAATGTTACATATTTATTTGAGCTTCCGGTAGGGATGTCCTGATACCAATACAAGAGTACTTGTGAAAAAGCCCTAATACCAATACTGGTCCTTTAAATCTTTAAACAAGAGTGGCTGATTGAGGTTCTGCGCTTAGTGGGGGCCTCAGGCAGCCTGCTGGAGACTTTGCGGCAGCTGACCTTTGACAAAGCCGGTCTGGTCCCACATCTCCTCCTTCCCGGCGCCCGCAAAGACCGGCACAGCCCTGGACAGCTCTACATCCGCCTGTACAGCCCTGGAACCCGGCACCCACCCGTTCAGCCCTGGAGAGACCCAAAGGCAGCCCTGTATAATCATGGAATGATGAGATCTGTAGTCCTCTATTGCCAGTTGCAATTCTCCATTGCTGAATAATCATGGATTGATGAGATCTGTAGTCCTCTATTGCCGGTTGCCAGTCTCTATTGCTGAATAATCATGGATTGAGAAGATTTGTAGTCCTCTATAGCGGGTTGCCATTCTCCATTGCTGTATAACCTCCAGCAAGGCTTTGCTTATTCTTGACATGTGGGGAAGTATCTCCATTCATTTCAATGGAAAGTATGTTCATTCTTCCAGGTATATGCGAAAGAACCAAAGCCCAACCAGGGTGCTTGTGGTAAAGAGACTGTGCAGCCTTCAAGGTTTCAGCAGGAGCGGTAACGATAATATTTGGAGGGGTTGTTGGGGGGAAACTATTCCCACATCTATCGCATTTACTTACTAAAACATTCTGGTCTATAGCCCCTGCCTCTCATTCTCCCACACTGCTGGAGCAGTGGAGTGGAGGACATGCTCCATTTTGTCTCCCTTGTGAAATGAATGTTATTTGGGGGAAGAAGTGGAGAGAACACAGACACAAGAAGTGAGGAGATGTCAGATTTTGTGGAATTTGTGTTGTATCTGGACCCTCTGCTTCCTTGACATGATAGAATCCAGAATGCGTGTCTGCTTTCAGGAATGTGCCGATGGTTTATACATTGTCCATGTGGAAAATGTCTGCCTTCAACAACAGGTTTGTGTCTGGACCCCTAAGGGATCTATCTGGCAGAAAGTAAAATACCAGAGTGAGAAAGTTCAGATGGAAGCTGCATGCTAGTTCCAAAGCAGCAACATGACAGGAGCTTTACCGACTCTGACCCGGCGCCTGCTTCTAAAGATGGACAATGGCGGTTTTCTTCCAACTTTTCTTTAGTTACACAACAGATTCCTTTTATTATTGGACAGAAAATGGATAAAATATCTCTCAGGATCTCATTTGTGGTGATTTTTTACACTTCCTGTTGGACTTTTACAGTGACCCCCCCCCCCCCAAAATGTATTGCCCCCCGACAGGATACTAGACAACAAAAACATCACAGAAATACAGTATTTACTTTTCTGAAGTCTAGCTAAAACTCTGAGGAAAAAAGGAATTCTCAGTATGTTTGAATATCTCTACAAGTATTAGGGCCTTGTTCACACAGCAATGGGTAAAAGACCAGCACTCGCACTGTTCACACAGGCATCAACTTGTATAGGAGAGCAAGCCTTTGCAGAGCATTTGGCAAGCGGACACCTTTAAAGGACCTGGGAGTACAAAACAATACTTGATCTTCCAGAAGTGCACCCGGCTAATAAAAGTAGTTGCTGAACTACTGAATCACATCCGCTTCTCATCTCCACAACATAAGCACTATTTGATCTTTAGTCCAAGATAAGAACTGGAAGGGCTGATCAGGTTCCTTGAGATTATGGAGCAGAAAACAGAAGGAAATCTCAGGTGGGACAGACCGCATTTAAAACCCGACAGATGCCAGCTCTTATCAAAACAAAGACAAAGCAATGGGTGGAGTTAAACGTCAGTATAAAAGGTAGTGTAGTATACTTGAGGTCCCCAAGCCCAGTATTCTCTGTCACTCACCCACCCATGTGTTCGAGTCCGACTTGTGAGCTGAAAGGATGTTTCATACCAAGCACCCTGGATTTGGAGACTCCCTGAAGACAGAGATAAGTTGGCAATCCTGACACCGTTGTGGCACTCTGGGCTTTGGCGCTATCACCACCAGAGTGATGCCAGTCCAGACGGGATGTGGCTGGGAAGAGATTTGAGATGTGAGAAAGTAAAGTAGCACACAACAACCACACTGGCCATTGTAAAAGAGAAGTCAGAATTGCTCTGACCACTGTCGGATCCCTGCGTACAAATCAAACACAAAGCAGACTGTAGTTTGAATTCCTTTATTTTGCAAAAAAGAACATCATGAAATAAAAAGGCCATGCTCACAGTATCAGATCCGCTGCCACCGGAGACATAAAGTGCTGATAAATACTGTGGACCCTGCACGTGTCATGGTGTCACCTCTGTATCAGAACCCGTGGGGTGGAGTATGTTACTAAGGCACCAAAATCCCTTCATTCACGGTGGAGAGTTGAACCCCTTAGATGCTGGATGAGGGCGCAGAGGTTGGTGAATGCTGCCTCCAGCAGTCAGTATAGGTGTAGTGAAGGGGTTACGTATGATGAGGATGGGGGGGAAAGGGGGGATACAGGACAGTGGCACGGACTTACAAAATATATATATATCTTATATGTTTCTCCTTATTTACACACTGTCACACTGAACCCTTCACGTGTGAGGTATCATGAGACAGGGGCACACACACACACACACGCATACATACATACAAGCTAACATGGAATGTTTCCAGTTTGGCAATAAAGAACATTGGCAGTTATAAAACCCAGCACAGGGGGTCAGGAATGTATGTACCTGGGCTGGATATTCGAGCAGCAGGTACCTGACACAGAGGGGAAGCTGGTTAAGTATAGGAAGGGTTAGTAAGGGATGTGCTGTTGGAAGGGGAACTGGAATAAGATGCTATGATGGGGCCACATCCTGGTCCAATAATTCCTTGTGCTAAGGGAAGAGTGTACTGATATGTGCTCCAGCCAAATAAGTGACTGGTGATGGACGATGAGATGTGACCAGACACAAAGCTAGTGGTCCAGTCAACTACAGGTTATAGAGAAGGGAATGGCAGATCAGTCTTAGATGATAGTCAGAATCGTATATACTAATCCAGGTCAAGCACTGTGGTACGGGCTCATGCATGGATATGAGGGTCTATGAAGAGCCAAACAGATATGAGGGTCCAGGCAAATGCTAGGTGTGCGTGTGAGGGTCCAGTCATGTGCCATACATATGAGAGCACAGTCAAGTGTCTGTTGTACATATGAGAGTTCAGTCCCATGGTAGGCCACTGATATGAGGGTCCAGGATAGCAATGGTTATAGAGGGAGTTCAGTCAAGTGAGATAAGGGAGCCAATCAAGTATCTGACCAAAAATAGAAAGTCAATCAACAAGCAAGATCAGAAATTGGGCACAGTCATGAGGGGCAGTCAATTACTCAGAACATATGGGTACATTTGTGTTATTGACTATGATCAGGGTGGGTTGTAGCACAGGGATAAATGAAACAGGCTCAAGCTCTTAGAGGTCAAAGCCTGTCGCAGTAAACAGCCAGCTTGGTGGGAAGAGAGGAGGAGAAGGGCATATGAAATAGGGGCTCTGCTACTTTGTGTTTAACCAAGAAATGTGATGCCAACTTGCAGTTTCCTGGTGCTTTGTTATTGCTTTCTAATATATGCTTTGGTTTGTGTCCCCATTAGGAAACCAGCAAGGAGCTCCTCCCCTTTTTAGGGTGGTACACATTACTGTGGCTGGCTC